GGAGATCAAAATTCGCGGAGGAAAAATTTGAGAGACCAAAATTCTCCTTGTGAGGGAAAATTTGAGAGATAAAACGGAGGTCAAATTCGCGACTTCCGGATGGCAAACTAAAATTCTCCGCGCATAGCCAAAACGCCCCACAGTGTTTCGATTAATGGACAAAATTAAAAAACGCCAAGTCTATAAGCTATAAATTTTTATACCTCAAAATGGTAGCATAGGGAAGTAGGTATCAGTATTACCCGAATTTTTACTGAAAATTGAAACTAGAAGTTTATTGCAAATTACAGTGCATGTTTTGTAAGTTGAATTCAATACTGTGATACCTATAAAATAGATAAGTAAATTTTATCGCAATAGGAACAAATTGCTCCAACTTTTTATGCGAAAATTTATCAAGTTCGAAGTGACTTTTAAAAAAAGTACCAGAATGTACCTCCACGATTATTTTTATACTTATATAGGACACATTAAGCTTTACTAATTGGAGTCGAATTTACACGCCCAAATTTGTCCAAGATGTCCAATTGTCGAATATCATTATTAATAAGTTCAGTGTCCATGTTTTTAGCTTACAATTAGTCTCTACCCGTGTATTCCGCGACGTGATAAGACGTTAAGTGCAAACATCCGTCCTGTCTCATAGTTTATAAAAAAAAAGAAAAAAGAATATAGAGATATTAAAAATCATTTAATAGCAAATGAGTCATCTTCAATAGAATCATACATACAATGTTCCAAGTCCCATTCTGACTCGTTCCAAGAACCAAATATGCACTTTTTACATATTATATATTTTAAAAACTGAACAATATACAATTAACTTTTAAAATTCCGACCAAATGTTAAATCACAATTTTTCTTCCTCGAATCCGTACATACACCAAAAACACTGTGCGCCCTCGTGATATCTCCTTCTTCGTTAAGTCCAAATCTTCCACAAACTGAATTTAGAAAATGCTAAATTAATCGAAACGCGTCTCTATCGAAATCTCGAGTCCTTCTCGCACAATAGCCTAACTTCGTCGTCGAAATCCAATTCAACTTCAGATTCGTCTGTCTCTGCCGTGAGCCTAACATGTATAGGTTACGCCAGAATTCCACGCCGTTTAAAATCAAGCAACACATAGTCGAGTACGAATGCAAAGCTCGGATTATCAACATGAGAACAGTAAAATAGTGAAAGACTCACCGCGTGCACGACGACGAGCTAAAGTTCGCAAGGCACTCGCGGCGGAATCCTTCTACAGCGAGACCGTGCTGCTAGTACGTGTGCAAGTTTAAAAACGAACACGTGGAAACAAAATTATCGTTCACTCTCGAGAAGAATGCTTCGACGTACACAACACGCTATCTCGAATTTTTAACCCTTCGCAGGCAAACATATTTTCTGACACTCCGCTACTGAGCTCTGATTTTCTCGCTGTTCCAGGCGTTAGAGAAATCTGGAAAAATTCTGGAACACTTGTCGAAGTCTCCGTTGAATTACACGATTGTCCGTTGAGTCGAATGTTTCGAACTTTCTTCGATAAAAATTCTTTTAGGACAGACACGAGAGTGAATCTTCGCTTGGGTCGCAAATGACCAAAGCTGCCAAACGGAGGGTTAACATACTTCAAACATTCTTATGCTTTTTTCCGTGTTTGCATTTCAGAAAGGACCAGAAAGTATCGAAGCTCATCCGTTAACCAACACTGTTCCTAGTCTCGTAAAAGTAAGTCTTTCTCGAATTCTCCTCCTTTCAATCTACACTTCTTCTAACACAAACACAGTGGCGGCTCGCGAATTTTCCATTAGAGTGATGCGCGCTGCATGCTCGCGTAACCACCGATCTAAAATTGTCAAATCGCTTCGTGTATGGCAGCGCAAAATTTCAAAAAATGTATTCCTTGTTACAACGAAACGAAAGTTACAATATCAGCGATTACTTGGGTTCATCAAAAGCAAAATATAGCGAAACAAACACAGACCGTTCAACGTCGCTGAAAACAAGCAGAGAGAGAAAAAAATATCAACAATATCCAAAATATTTGGCTCACATTTTTCTCCAGTCGAAAAGTTTTCGCCAAAAACGATCAGTTTTACTTTTCTTCAATTACTTCCTAGGCGTACAGAAATTAGTTTCCCATTTACATTCAATGCTGCGACTTAAATTCTCGCGGTAGAGCAGAAAGCATAGGAAAATACGAAAAATGAAAAAAGATTGCACTTTCTCGAACATTAATTGCACGCGAGCGTTAAAGGGTTAAGCAGCCGCCCCTGGCACATAAGCACATACACACCGCCTTTGTAATCGATGCAATTGAATAACCCGTCAGACAGATAAGCGTGTTTACATTTCCTGATTAACCGGTATACACAATCGGGCTAACAATATTACTATTATTTACCACGAAACAAAATTCCTCGAACACGTCCAGATATTACTGGTCTTCCCTAAAGATGATCAACAAATGGACGTACTCGCGACAACCTCGAGGCGACTGGGTTGGAGCGTGTCGGTGGCGAAAGACGCGGAAAAAGCGGTCGAATTCTTCCAGAGTCGGGGTCACGAGCTAGTGATCATCGATCATCGGGGGCAGCGCGCCGCTGAGGCCGATATGATTTGTAGGTATGGCGAATTTTTGTTTGAGAAAAATCGATTACGTATAATGAAAGGAACATTGGAAAATTTTAATCTAGACGAATTCTTTCTGTTGTTCATTTCAGGGCGATTAGGTCTAGTCCCGTTTACCACAATTCCGTTATTATAGCTCTTGTAAAGAAATCGTAAGTTGATGATCTAGTTAGCGGATCCTATTCTCTCAACGATTTTTATGGAATTTTTGACAAAGTTCTGTCTTTCTACAAATTGCTGCAGGTTCCTCATGCACGGAGAAAAAGATAAAATCGTGGCACTGGATTTACTGGAGACAGGATTCACTAGAGTACGTTGCTAAAATACCGATATGGAAGACTCTGATTTAAATATACTCTTCGAAGCTTCTATAGATCTTTTCAAATTTATCTTAATTTTTTTGTCGTAATGTGCTCTTTAGTGAAGACGTTTTCGATTTTTTAAGGGAATTTTTGAATAATTTTGAGTATTTCTAGAGATGTTTTTCTAAAGGGATAAGTTTTTTAAAGTTTTAGTGTAATAAAAAAATAAGTTTTTTAATTTTTTAGTGTAATTTTAATTGTTTTCCATAATGTTTTTTAATTTTTTTAAGGAAATTTTTGATGAATTTTGACTATTTCTAGACACTTTTTTCCCATAGGGATGAGTTTTTTAATGTTCTAATGTTATCTTAATTTTTTCCACAATATATTTTTTAACGAAGCTCCTTTTTATTTTTCGAAGGAAATTTTTCAATAATTTTGGCCATTTCTAGAGATGTTCGTTTTCAAAGGATAATTTTCAAAATTTCAATTTAATTTTCGATTTCTTCTATTAACGGAGGCAATTTGTTTATTTATTTCAGGCTCTGATGGAGTGCTCCCACGAGAGGATCTTAATAAACGAACTAGTGGGAATCTACACTAGCGCACTCCTACCAAGGACACAACTGGCGGCTGCTAACGCACTGTACTTGGCACTTGACAGATGCCGCGACATGGTACACGTGACGAACGATAAACACATTGTACAGGTACAACGGTGAATCCACTATAGCTCTTGTGTCACGTATTTCTAATCGAGAAAATATTTAAGTCTTCTTACTTTCAAAATTTCTTCGCAAATATCACTTAAAAATCCTCCCCTTTAATTCATTCATAAATACTCCCTATACGCATACGCGCACGATAATTACTTAATAATAGTTAACACCTGAATTTCTTCATACTTCACTCTCGCTAGAAAAGTGTCAGTAAAAAGTTTTCAATTTTCATTGGAATATCCTTTCCGATGAGTGGATTTATCACAAAAAAAAAAAAAAAAATGTCAGAAGTGAGTAAATCTGAAATAACCGTGATTAGGTAATTTTCCAAACAGAAATGTTCGTCTCGATCTGAAAAATTCGAGAAAGCAGAAAAGTGTCGATTCGAAAAGAAAAATTCCATGCTCTCGAGCTGTGACAATTTTCTCCGCGAGAGTGCAAATCATATACAGAATTATAATTACGATTAATTAATCAATGCTGAAATTATTCTTGTTACAGTTTGTTAATAAAATTAGCGAGAAATTACTAGGTTATAAGACCAGCGAGATCCTGGGGAAAAGCATCGCGGAGATAGTGTTCTACGATAACTTTATCCTTATGGAGCAGCATATAAGTAAAGGAAGGGAGTTCGAGGGGAATATGAACTGCAAACGAAAGAACAATCAGATGATCACCATCAGCTGCAGGGTGATACCTTTCTGTGTCAGCCTGAAGTGAGTTCGTCTCGAATTTACTATCCGTCTCAATTATTTTTTTCACACGTAATTCTAAAATTTGCTCTTTTCCAGAAAACCGACTCATTATATTTATATATACGATACGACGTATTTATCGGAGAACATTGGTTCGTTAAGTCCAGCTCCAACTCAGCCCCCTTTTATCAGGGCAAATGCTGTTGTTTCTCAAAGGAGGACATCTGATATTAAATCGACCAGCGAAAGTAATGGTTTGAATTTTCGATTTTTACCACTTTCAACATTAAAACAAACAAGAAGGTTTAACGTAAAATACTTTTTTTGTTGAAAAGAAAAAAAAAAAATTGCAACGTTAGTGTGACCGAAAGAAGTTGTAATCTGAAATTGTATATATCGTGGTTTTTGAGTTTTCAATACACCTACAGTTGGAAATCAGGCTATCGGAAGATTGCACATATTGAGAATAGAATTTTTTCCAAATAGTCACGACTGATCGTAATCTCGTATCTCTATCGGCTGTGACAATAAATGAAGAACTAGGACATCTTGCGTTGCACTGCGTACAAATCCTTTTCACTGTATGGAAAAAAGAGAAATTTTTATTTTGATCGCAGGCCGAAGGCGGTCCAGTTTACACAAGCTGCACAGTTTACAATTGGAAGCGCCGATCACGAAAGTGATCTCACTCCTATCGAATTCGATCACGGAATCTACGACGCCCGATACAGCGGCGCAAATTGAAAAAGTACGTACTATTCTAGTAATTATCTCTTAAGAATATTGAAAAATATATGTATAATAAATATTTGTGAATTTCTAGGCAATTGAAATTCTCAAAACGACTGAATTGTACGTGCCATCGTTGAGAGAGGATACAGATCCCGTAGCGACTGATCTAGTCGGAGCCTTACTTTCTGTAAGATAATTTAAGTTCAAGCAAACATTCAAAATTTCTATATTTTAACATTTTTAACATTTTTCCGCGAGACAATGTAAGTTTGAAAAATTTCCAAATTTCTATCGAGAGATTTGTGACATTCAAATATATTCTTAATTTCTAAATT